AATATAGAGAAATAAACAACCCAAAATATGACCGGAAAGAAATTACCAAAATATGTGAGCTTTCTGAAGAAAATCACCCAGATGGAACTTGCAATCTATGGCGGCCTGAAGTTCCAATGTCACCCAAGAATAACCAGAAATTCCAAAACTCTAAGACAATGGCTCTGATACCATGATAACTTTTCCTTCGAAAGAATTTTGATTGAATGGCTCAATGCCTTATCTTTCTGATTTCATTGAATATATAGCTGAATATACAGTAATTTAAGGCCTGATTTACACTGATTTACAGAGATTTAAGGCTGATTTATCTCTACCTACAACTATACAATCTACTTACGGAAAGATAATATGAATACAAAATAAATAGGCTGTACAAAATAAATGTTTGCTTTATATGGTGTTTGCTTTATATGGCAACACATAATTATCCATATATTAAATGTGTATGTAATGTGCTTATTTGCATTTGTCTGGTTGTGCACATTTGTTTATGTTTTTATGAATCTGGTGTCTAAGGTCCCAAACTCCCAATATAATTTCATGATCGGGTTAGGTTAGGGTTAAGAATGTTGGGTTGGATTAGGTTTCAAGGTTTAACACATGGGTTGGGTGAGAGTTGATTCTTCCAGAATTTGAGCAAGGTAACGGATCAGATTTGGTGGAAAATTTTTGGGATGTCCCAGATTGTAATTTTTTTCATTTTAATGAAAATTTTCTTTACTCTTAAAAAACCAGAGTTGATCTCACTCCCACCCAACCTGGCCAAAGCACATACCTGGTTATTTTATTTAATCCAAACGTTTATCCCCCTCTCCTAATGAATAAATAATAAAAGAAAAAGATGGGAAAATCCAAAGTTATTTTTCTTTTGTTAGAACTACGAAAATTTTATGATTTGTTACCTAGCATCCAGAACCTTACCTAGAGGCTAGAGTCAGCTCAAATCATTTCCCTATCAAGCTAGGTCCTGAAACCTTCTTAAGTGGCCCCACGCCATTTTGACTTGAAAACATGTGGCTCACCCACCTGGACTTTGTAAGGAAAGTAGAAACATGGTGGAAGGAGGACTTGGGTGATGTGAGTTGGAAAAGTGTAAAGTTTCATAAGAAGTTGAAGAGGTTGAGAGAAAAAATCAAGGAGTGGAATAGGGACCATTTTGGAAGACTAGAGAAGAAAATGATCAATCTTGTGTCCAGCATAGGGGAATTAGATAAGGAAGTATAGGGGACTATTGTTGATTATGAAAGAACCATGAGGTGAAAATTAAAGAGAGAGTTGGAAGAAGCCTTACTAAGAGAAGAAATCAGCTGGAAACAGAAATCTAGGTGCAAGTGGTTAAAAGAAGGGGATGGTAATACAAAATAGTTTCATGCTTTGGCAAATGGGAGAAAGAGGAAGAACTATGTGGCTAAATTGGAGATAGAAGGGCAGGAGATAACCAATCAAAGTGAGATTGCTAGGAGATTTGACCACTTCAAATCCATCTTTATAAGACCTTTGATTGACTGAGTGGATATGGAGGATTTTTATTAGTGGGCCAGATAGCTTCACTATGGTCTCCTAACAGGATTGCTAGCAAGTTGTGAAACGTGATCTAGTTGAGGTGTTCATTGAATTTGCGGAGAAGGAATTCATTAGTCTAGGGAAAAATGTGACCTTTACCTTAATCAATCAGCAACAAGGGGCTTTTGTAAAAGGGAGAAAAATAGCTGACCAAATCCTCATCACGTATGACTATGTGGAAGAAATGAAAAAATCTAAGAAAAAAGGCTTCATATTGTAAGCTGGACCTTGACAAATCTTATGATCTTGTGGATTGGATGCTCTTAATTAAGGTAATGAAATCTTGTGGATTTGGGGAGAGATGGTGTAATTGGATCTTTGGATGTGTTAAGACTTGTCATTACTCAATTCTTCTCAATGGGATTGTGAGAGACTTCTTTCCAGCTCGTATAGGTTTAAGGTAGGGAGACCCCTTTTCACACCTTTCCTCTTCACCCTAGTTGCAGAGGTCTTGATTAGAATGGTTTATAAGGCTGAAAGGGAGAATAGAATTAATGGTTGGAAGGTTGGAAGGGATAGGTTACCAATTACTCACTTACAGTTTGCAGATGATATTATAATCTTCTGTGAAGGGAGAGATCAACTTTTGGCGAGGAATCTGAAGGACTTGGTGAGGAATTTTGAACTTGCCTCCAATCTTAAAATTAATCTTGAGAAGAGCTACATCACGGGACTTAATATGGAAGAAGGAGACCTTACAGTTGTTGCAAATGTCCTAGATTGCTCCATCTCAAGTTGGCCTATGACCTACTTAGGGCTTCCCCTAGGTGCAAATCCTAGAGAGAGTAGATTTATGAGTCTAATCTTTGAGAGGTGTGCTAAGAGACTAGCAACCTGGAAAAGGAATTACATCTCACTTGGGGGTAGGATTACTTTAATTAAGTCCACGCTTGCTAATCTACCAATCTACTACTTGTCGGTCTTTAGGATCCCTAAAATGGAAATAAATAAGATAGATAAATTAATGAGGGACTTTTTGTGGGAATCGAGAGAAGGTAAAAAAGACCACTTGGTTAATTGGAAGACTGTGAGCAGAAGCCTAGAAGTAGGAGGCGTAGGAATTGGGAATGTGGATAAAAAGAATTTTCCATTGCTAGGAAAATGGTTAATTGGTTATGGAGATGGCCATGGGAACAAGACAGACTCTAGTATAAAGTAATAGTCAGTATTCATGGTAGGTTGGGGAATGGCTGGGATGCAGGTGTCTCTAACTGGGCTACATTAGTGTTTCCGTGGAAGACAATTCATGGTATTCTTCCCACTCTCTTCTAGTTTGTCAGGTATGATGCTTGTTCAGGGGATCCTATTAAATTTTGGGAGGATGTCTGGATTGGGTCTTACCCTCTAAAGGACCTCTTCCCATCCTTGTACTCAGTTTCTTTGTACAAAAACGAATGTATTTCTAAATTCATTGTTCCCCATGTTCACCCAGTGGATCCTAATTGGGACTTTGGCTTTCGTAGATGGTTAAGGGATGATGAAATGAGGGCTTGTCTGTATTTGCCTCAAATACTTCAAAGTGTGTGTCTTGATCCTAATAAGTCAAACAAGCATTTCTGGGCCCCTCACCCTAAGGATTTGTTTTCTTGTGCTTCCTTCTTCAAGTCTCTTTGTAATTTTTTGCCCTCTCTTTGATTCCCTTGATAGAGTTCTAGTGCAAATCCATTCCCCCTAAAATAAGAGCTTTTTGTTGGGAAGTAATTCATGGGAAACCCAATTTATGTCTCTCTCCAAATTGGTGTGTTTTGTGTAGCTCTGATAATGAGAATTGCTCTCACTTATTGATTTCTTGCTCTTTTTTTTGTAGATATATGGAATTGGTTTTTTTTCTTTGTTTGGGTGCAGGTGTTCCTTACGAGCAGAGGCTAACTTGCTGTTTGATCCTTCTACGCTTACTTGGGAAGAGAGGAATGTGAGAATTTTCTCTGAGAAGGAAAGAAGCAAGGAAGAAATAAGGAATTGTGTGATGTTTAGAGTGATCCATTGGATCAAATCTTTGGACCTATTTTCTTAAATTTCTCATGATGACTTATGGAGAAATTAGGGAGTTGCAAGAAGCTCTTCCAGAAAGGAAAGAATAAACGTTGAATGGCTGCCCCCACCTCAAGACTATGCGAAACTGAATTTTAATGGGAGTAGTAGGGGAATCCAAGATCTGCTAGTATAGGAGGGGTTGTGAGATACATGGAAGGCAAACTAATAGCCTTGTTTTCTAGCCCACTAGGGATTGGGGGCTCTCTCAAGGCAGAATTTCTTGCAACCTTACAAGGAGCACAAGTTGCTAATGAACTGAACATAACCAATTTGGTGATTGAAGGGGACTCAAAATTGGTGGTGGGTTAGTTAAAGGATCCAAAGTCTGTGATATGGACCATATGGTGCTACAGGGATGAGTTAAAAAAGTTTTTATGGATCACCAAGAATACGAATTTGAGGATACAATGGGTGAGGAGATCGGCAAGCGGTTTAGTTGATACTCTAGCCAAGCAAGGGGTGAATAGAGAATCTTTGTTTTGGGCTCACTTGTAATTTTTTCTGTTTTGTTTATAGAGAAGTAGCATCTTGTGCCTCTCTAAGGGATGCTTGTAATGATTATATCTTCAGAATTAATGAAATCTAACTTCATTTATCAAAAAAAAAAGTATGATCTGTTGAGGCCATTGAATTATATAAAATTATTATTCTCTTTCTTATTTCTTTTTTGTTGTTCTAGACAATAAGTAGTAGAATGTCAAATCTCAATATTACTCCCAACCATGTCCCATCTTGTATTGCAATATGATGTGTTATAATGTTAATTTTTTAATATCTGATGGTTTCTATCATTTCATAGGTTCGCAATGTTATGTTGGAGAATATTGATAAAGTTTTAGACAGGGGAGATCGCTTGGACTTGCTGGTGGGCAAGACTGAGTATATGCAAGGAAATACTATTCGTTTCAGAAGGCAAGCTCGTCGTTTTAGGAACACTGTGTGGTGGAGAAATGTCAAGCTCACGTATGTCTGACCACCTTTATCTATTTTTCCTAAATTTCACATGACATTATGTGGCTTTGCATCAAGGTTCAAAATATCGCAACGTATCGGGTCGTATCGGCCGATATGTATCATTCCAACATGAACCCGATACACAGAACGTGTAGAAATCTTTTGTTCCGTTTCTTTTCGCACGTATCGCCCAATACGGGCCCATATCGGACTGTTTCGGATCTGTATCGTCTTGTTTCGAATCTGTATCAGCCGATACGAGCCTGAAACAGTCCGATACAGTTTGATACATATCATTAATTTCGCTAATCCATATTTAATACTGAATCTCTCATTAGTGTCGTTTATTTATGTCTAATTTCTCTTTCATTAATTAGTCAATTACTCCAAGGAAAATTTAAATTTAAATTTGAATTTTAGTGCCTAATTCAAATTCTCTCATTGATTCCTTTAATTAATGATCCCCTCTCATTAAATTCGTTTTGTTAGTGTAAAAACTTCAAATTTAGCAATAGCAAGATTTGAACCTTAGTCACTTGATTTTAACAAACACAAGTTCGCCAATGAGCCACACATATTTGATTGCTATGTTTATATGCATTTTTTATTTTAAATAGATTTTCACTTTTCTTAATGAGTGGCAAGTGCTTATTAATAAATGTTAGAGTTAATTAAAAATTTATATACTAATAAATATTAAGATTAATTATATTCGTTTTTGAAAATTGACATTCACATTTTTGTTTTTTTGTTTATTTTACATTTAGTTATTCCATCATTTTTAAATGGTTACTAATTGTGACCAATATGGCATACTTTATATAAACCATTAAATTATAGTTTTTTACATTTAAATGACTTATTTACAATCATATAAAATTTGTAAATATACTTAGTAATATATTTTTTAAGATTTATTTGAATTTTCTACCATATTTATGCATATCTTAATTTTTCGTCCGTATTCATACGTATCCAAAGCGTATCTCGATATGTCTCTTAAAATTCTCTTTCCGATACACCTTGCGTTTCCGATACTTTGAACCTTACTTTGCATCATGAAGAGCATTTGCATCGGGACAAAATGGAAAGAGATCTTGGCTTTCTTTATCAAAATTTGTGTCTTTATTTATTCCCTTATTTCTTCCTTTCTTTTTTCCTTTCTGGTTGGAAGGTGTGTGCACAATTAGAAATTGATTCCCTAAGGAGATAGGGCACTAATTTTTAAGAGGTGTTATGATTGCAACCATCTTATTTAAAGAACTTCTGATGTAGGACAGATTATGGAAATTAGATAAAACTAAGGTTTTAGATCAATTTTTAAGAGAAAATTGTTTTATGTTTGTCAGGGAAAAAAAGTGGTTTAGTTTGATGTTAGAATCAAAGGTTAGTATGGCTGAATTACGGTTCAAAGGTGATTTCTCAGGTTATGCAGAAAATTGCATTTAATTTCAATGGGTGAAACTGTAAAATATGAACTAAGAAAATATAGAGAAATCAGATTGCTTCTACATCAGCTCTTTCTTCAATAGAATAATTGAGTCAGGGGGACCTATGGTAACATGGAAATGGATTTAGAAAATAAAGGTGCTATCAAAATGCCTATTCTTTATGTGGACTGTAATTCTAGACAGGATCCTTACCATAGATCACCTTCTTTCCAAAGGAACGATACCAGAAAATTGACACTGCATCTGTGATCAGGATGAATCTATGCCACATGCTAATCCACGGCAAGTTCACCTATAGTAGCTTAAGCATTATGACTCACTTTGTGTTGGTTTTGGTGAAATGGTATGTAGTGCAGAAATAACAAAGTTCATTTGAAGTTCTTTTCTTTTTTTATCTGGAGTTTGATAGACTCTAATTCCCCGTTCCTTCTGTTTTACTCCCTCAGGAATAAATGCCTTACTGAGGGGATTAAGTGCTACTTTAAAATAAATTACTGCCTCACCAGATTTAGCATCTTTAATTAGAAGGAATTCCTTAATACTGGATTATGTTAAATTTAAAACCCAAAAGACTCAAAGTTTGTCTATATTTTAAAGTCTTTCCTCATATGAAAATGGGATTGTGGGGAAGTTCCTACTAAGAAATTTAAGAAGGTATACAAGTGGAAAGCAAACAAGGACAAACTTTTTTATTGATAGGTCAAACAAAGACAAACTTCAGTCTAATGGAAGAGGTGGTGGACACTTCAATATAAATCAGGTGATTTCGACTATTGATTCTTTATCAAATGAGAACACTTGTGGTCTTACCTTGTTTGTGGAAGACAATATAAATGGAAACTTTGCAGAAGAGAGAGATATTGGTTATGAGCAAGACAAGGGTTTTGTGATCTCTTCATGTTTGTCAGAAGATACAAAGATAAGAAACAGGAGGTGTTGAGATCAACAGTGAGAAATAGATCAAAAAAGTATAGAACATAGCCAATTACAAATGAGGTGGATGCTTGGCTGAGTGAGAAAGGAGATGTTATGGAGTTAAGAGGAATGGAAGAGTATGAAAATGGAGAAGATGTAGTAGTGATTGATGAAGTTTAATCAGGGTGGTTGGAAGAGCGGTTGTGGCTGTTAAGCAATTGGGTTTGTTCTTTTTAGGAGGGAAAGAATTTTTGGAAAAAAGTTCCTGGATTAAAGAAGAGAGGAAGAAGTAAAGGCTCTTAACTCCCATATAGAGAGTAAAACAAGTAATTAGGCAAAAGTTGATTTGAGAAGCTGAGGAGAAAGAAGGATGTATATTGGAAAGGTGTGAGAAAGGCTAAGGAGGTAAGTGTGGCGAGTGAATTCTGAAGTGACGATTGAAGTGGTGCTATTCATCCTAGGGAGTGGGTGGTCATCTTAGGTAGTAAAGTTAGTTGTGTGGATCTGCTGCACTTTTTTCCTGCACTTCCATTCATTTTGTGATGGCTGTCCCATTACACATGTGGTCTTATATGTATGCACATGTCACAGACTGAATGAAAGTGCAGCAAATTGTAAGAGGGGGCGGGGGGTAGAGTGGTGGTTCTCTTCAATAAAATTTTTATTTATTATCAAAAGAATCCTTGCAGCATATTTTCTGTTTATTGATAAATATGGTGCATTTATAATACCTTGACAATTATACTCCAGCAAAAGAATGGTGATCTGCAGTTTGAGTGACAGTTTTGATTCAGACAGATATATGCAGACTGGATATATTTTTCTTTTTGGTGCATAGACTGGAGATTAATTCAATATGGCAAGGATTCTTAAGTCTAAGAGGCTAATCTAAGCATCTCTTCTGTCAATACTCTTCTTTGAGTATCAAAAGAGTGGCATTAATTTTCTGCTCGCTGATCAAAAAGGAAAAAATGTTCTACATGTATCTGATAAAGGAAATGTTCCTATTTCCTAAGATAATTGATTTAGATAACTGATTAAAAGATAATAAAATAATTGATTTAGATAACCAGTGCACTTTTCTTAACCATATTCTTGTGCAACTGTTCTCTATCTGTATATCAATGACTTGTATCATCTCTTATATCCAGTTATGACCAACTTTACTAAGGGTTCATTTTGTAACTTCCAGAATGTGCCATGGATGTTGGGAATAAGTTATGTGGTTAAATTAAAAAATTTAGGTCAAAACTCAAAACATCCAAAAAACTACTTGCAGATGTAGGATAGGATTAAGCATTTGATCTTGAGGGTTTCAGATCTTATAGATTATGTGGGACAAAGTGTTGCATGGACTCTCCCAAGACCTAAATGGATGAAGTGTCTATGTCAGACATGTGTCAGGGACACTACAACATGGCATGACATAAATGAACAAGAACAACTAATGGAGATAATGAATGTCATTTTCTTATGAAATGCTATTAACTAATGTAGATAAAGTTTCAGACCTTGTTCCTTGGGTATAAAATGTTGGAATTCAAAAAAATGACTGTTTTAATAGTTTATATTTTCTCTAAGTATGTCCGTAAGTCCTTGTTTGTTTGTCTTGCCAAGTCAGACTCCTGGACACATCACATTCCGATTCCCATGTGGTGGAACACTTTTCCATTCATATACAATCTATATCAAACCATGTTTGTAGCTACAAGACTAGAACAGTTGGATTCAATTAGTCTAATCAAACTTAAGAGAGCATTAATAGGTTGAACTCTTAAATTACATTCTCTGATGTTACTATAATCAAACATTATTAGACTAACTATTTAATACTTTGGATTTTGCAGGATTGCATTGATTTTGCTTCTCTTGATCATTATTTATGTCGTGCTTGCATTTGTTTGCCATGGGCCAACATTGCCTTCATGCAGGAAGTGAACACAGTGCTGTATGCTGAATGATGCTCTGTTGTATTGGTGAATATGAAGCCTTATTTATAAGTTCCCACTTTATCTGTTGTTTCAACTCTCAAGTTATCGGTAATTGGACATATCTGAGTGGCCCTTTTTATGGAGGGTTGAATTGAATTTGATTGTATGCTTGTTGAGAAGTCCATGGCTTGGATATTGGTTTCTGGAAAATTTTCTTTGTTTCGTCAAGTTGTGTTGCTGGCTAGGACAATGGGTAGGCTCATCCAATTGGTGTAAATGTAATATTTTAGGTTTTATCAATTGGAAGGCTCAAACTGATCAAGGCAAAAAGGATCTGTCATTTAAACTAATCGAATGTACTTAGTGTCATATAATTAGATATATTTGTCCAGACCTAATTGTCATCACCATGATATAAAGTGAATGTCTGATCATTTTTTTCCTCATCTATTTTCCAGTGATTTAGGGTTCTTTATGTGATTATATTTATATCACAGAGTGAAGCTATTTGCAAATTCTGGCTAACAGATTATGCAGTCTTTCTCATGATTTCCACAAAAAAGAAAAACTGATCTGTTTTACTTTCCGAGTAAGACCCCTTGGACATGTGATGTGGTAAGGTTTGAATGCTATTAATGTTACTGTTTCCTTGGTGACCATGATGATGATGAAGATGATGGCTGATGAACTGATAATACAATGGTCAAATCACCATCAACTGCAATGGCTCTTAAATAAGTATTTTGAATTTTTTATGCCTCCTATATTTAAACGATTAAACCTCCCTACAAAAAAAAAAAAAAGACAAAAAAACAAAAACAAAGATCAAACCCACGTTACTTTTTCATATGGAGATAGGATTTCTTTCATGTCATTGTAGTTTAAGAGACTTAATGCATGTCTACATCATCATCCAAGCCTTAATCCTGTTTTACCAGTCAGTTCTGTTTAGCACAAAAAGACATCAGGATTCATGTTCATGGGAGTTTGGCAGAAGTTTTCGTACTGGTTGCCAACTTGAACCCCCCCGCTTTAAAGCTAAAATGTAAAAGTGACTGCTTCAGCTGCATGGTTTAAAACTTCACAATGCCTTTATCCCCCGCCTTTTTTAGTCATCCTACTTTAAAACTTCACAATCCCTTATCTCCCACCTTTTTCGGTCATCCTCAACCAAGGTTCAAAACATTTCCACGAATTGGTGAATATCACGGCATCAGTTTTTAAACCCACCAAAATGCGGAATACCAGGATTTAGGGCAAAAGGCCATTTTTAAATATTAACTATCAAGTAAACTCATGCCAATGCATGGGGATGAAAAGAAATTTCCATAGGTTTGGGTTGGAAAATTTAAGTTTTGACATCGATTTGGTTCTAAACCAAGGTTTACATTCAAGGTTGGTATTGAGTTGACCCTTAACCCCACCCAATCCATCTAATTTATATCTATATTTTATTAGAGAGGGTCAAAAGAGTTTTAAAGATGGTAATGAATTTAATAGGGGGAGGGGAGATGTTACAAATATTACTATTGAGGGGGCGGGGGGAATTAAGAACAATTTTATTAGAAAGAGTAACTATAGATTTTAATAGAGAAAATTAAGACAAAAGGGTTTTATGAGGAGACATAAGAGATGATCCGCTTGAAATCTTGAAACCTCAAACCTTTCAAGAAGCGCAATGCTTCGAGCATGTCTGATACTTTGAACCATGCCCTCAGAACATTCTTTCTATATGGCTCATCATGTGTACTGATGTCAAAATAAAAATATACTTGCCCTTCACATTGGTACTTGACTTCATAGCAGCATCTTATTTTCAATACAGTACTTGAGTTCTTCAGAGCTAATCCATATTTATCAACTCCTTCTAAGAAGTGTTTTTATGCAAATATCTTTCAAAAAATGAACCAATACTTTCACTCCATTATATAGCGTTTATTCCTAGAAAAAAAAAAGTATGTATCCTTCAGGAAAGTCAGAACCCATTTTGTCTATCTTCCATATGTCACTGGATCATATCCTCTCAAGCCGTTTGAAATTCATCCACTGTCGAGGAATCATAAATTGTTTTATTAAAGCGGTTGATATATAGGAAATTACAATTTTCTAATGTTCTACAGATTGCCTTTCTAAGTGTGAGACTATCTTGATTAGTCAAAATGCACTACAAGATGTTGTCTACTACTTCCCAGAGCTAAAGCTACCAAACCCAACCAATAAAGCCCTGAACCCCTGATCTTGTAGTTCCATTTGCTAAGGAGAAAGTTTCTTTCAACAAGCATACTGTCAAAAAATTATCCCACCTTTGTTTTGGAAATCACTCAATTTAGCATTTAACAAAACCCTGTCTAAATGCACTACAAGAAAACTCATTAGAACTCCTCTGCCCACCCCCGCCCTATATGGCTATATCTACAAACCCCAGATCTAGATAAGCCATTAGCACATACAGTCTCAATAGGACGACTTTATAAATTCACATAACACGAATTCCCAGAGTGTTGAACCAAGTCTAAAACAACCGCAGTTGCAGCAGAATACTTAATTGACGATCAAATTTGAGGAAAATCAGTCTGTCACATACTCACATTCATACTATCAGTGACTGGGTACAGCCAGCCAGAGACCTAACCAACTGAATCAGTTGCCACCGACTCTCACAAGTATTCTTAGCTGACTCAAATTCTAAACAAATTATGACATTAGATACTCGTAAAACACTTTTACTTATGTTATATAGTAGCCTCTAGCACCAGCCGCCAGTCCCTTCCCCAGGAACTGTTATGTTCTAATATGAATTTCTGAAAGATTGATCTGTCAATTGAGGGAGCTAAAAATGTTCCGCAGAATTAAGAATTTGCTCCCAAAAGAACTTTGGTAGCTGAATTCTTCGGAATGTTGTTTTAGCTTCACATTTTAGAAGATTTTTATCAAAAAAAAAAAAAACAATTGATAAAGGATAATTTGGCCTGCAATTGTGGATATCATTTGCAGCCCTAAATTAAATAAACAAAGCACAGCGTAAGAGATACCCAACTACCTCTTCCCTGCCCAATCTTCACACCATCAGCACCTGCTATTCAATATTTGCAACCCTTGAGGAAAAAAATATGGATTATAAATTTAAATTGCATCAACTACAGATAGTTGCTCCACAGAGTTTCATTAACTTTGAGGGAAAAAATAACTTATTACCTCCAGAGTTAGCTATTGACCTCAGAAGCACCATTCTTATTACTGATCCTTTAACTATACCATATTTTAAAATCTATGATTTTTTTTCGAATAAATCCATGAAATACTTGATACTCTAAAACTACAATTCAATGTCCTTTTTTCTTTTTTTTTTTTTTCTTTTTGGACAAGGCTATTTGGGTAATCAGAGATCCAGCAAAAGGGTCTCTCCCATCACATCCATTTACGTTCTAGAAGTTAAGACATGAAATCCATCCTAAAATTACTTTCTTTCCTCTGAGAGAGAGAGACCATATGAATCAGGAGCCCTTTAGGACAAGGATGTGATTAAAAGCGTCTTTCAATCTCCTCGAAGGATCTAGATCCAGAGTTGTCAAATTGTTATCTTCTAAGTTCTATGGTTTTTTTTTCTCTAACATGGCAGTTGTTTTTATTTAAAAAAAAAAGAAAAGAAAAAACAAAGTTATGTATATTGGAAAACACCCCCTAAATCTACAATAAAATGGTGGTGATGGCCTCAAAAACTCAAATTCCCTCTTATTGGAAGATCAGTGATAAGATTCAGAGGTTAATTTGATAAATGCAGTAAGCAGTGTTGTCTCTATAATGTATAGGGTTTGCTGTGGACAAAACTATTGATTTCACTATCACATTTGGACAAATCTTTTCTAGGAGTAGAAATCAGATTATGATTGGTTACCACTTTGATACGGGTTTATTAGTTACAAGTTTTTCTGGTGTCATTATGTATATATACATTTTGTCAATGAAATCTATATACATATTTTTTATGATAAAATACAAAAACCTCTCTTGAGTTTTCTGACAATCATAAAAATCTCCCCTATACTTTTTAGAAAACATGCAACTACCTCCCTTCCTCGGCAGAAAAACAGATTAAATGTGCTTGTTTTTTAATGCCTATTTTGCCCTTATGCCTAGATGTAGATTTATTAAAATATCCTTCAAAATATTGCTTATTTTTTTGTCGAGAACTGAGGACTAGAGTCATCGGTCTTCTCTCACGTAAAAGACGAAAACGTCCTTGTTGATCTCCCATCATACATTCTGTATTCTTCGTCTTCGTCCTTTTTTTGCCCTCCATTAGAGATGTTTGCACCAAAAAGGAAAAAAAAAAAAGCAAAGTTACGATTTTGTCCGTTTTTAGTATTATTGGATGGATGGTTCAGCGATGTAAGTATAACGGATGCATTATAAATGAAAGGTGTGTGTGGTGGAACCACTCCGGGTTTATTTGATTTTGATATTTGTTTCTCTATCTGAACCAAATATGTGCGGAGGAGATATCATCTCCGATTTCATTGACGTGAAGCATAGTAGTAATTTATTTGGCGTCACAAGACCTTTAATTGGAATTTGACACCATCTCCGATCTCATGGGCTTTGAGAGTTTTTAAGGGTAAAAAACAACCAAAAAGAATATTTGGTTGGTTTTGAGAGTTTTTAAGGGTAAAAAACAACCAAAAAGAATATTTACAGGTTGGTCCAGAGCTGTACAACAACAAACACTTGTGCTAATGGATGTTGTAGTCGTTAGAATATGCCATCTATTAGAGAAATGGCAAAGCTAAATTTCTGAAGCTTGGTGTCAAGGCTTGTGGTTGCAATGGTTTCTCTTATACTCTCAATTACATGGCTAATTCAAACTTTTTTAATTTCATCTATATGTGTTATAATTTGATTATGATGTTTTAAATTTTGATGAAACATTTGTCTTTATGAGATCTATAAAGTCGATGATTGCTTGAAAAGTAGAAAAGAAGCTTGAAGCACAGAGGGGATTTAGATCTTCATTACTGCCTTCCAGAAGCACATAAGATCCTTGATTACAGAGCACTTGATCTCCAATCAATGGTGGGTTCCGTACTGCTGCCAATCCACTAAAACATTTTCAATACACACTAACGAGACTCTAGAATCCATGGGTATGCGATAGAGAGAGAGAGAGAGAGGAAATTTGGTTCTCACTTCTCAGAAGAAAATGAACAATGTTTTGAAGGGTATTTTGATAAATTTACATCTAAATATATAGGCATAAGGGCAAAATAGGCATTTTAAAAAACAAACACGTTAAATCGGCTTTTCTAAAAAGTACAGGGGAGGTTTTTATGATTGTTAGAAAACTCAGGGGAGGCTTTTGTTTTTTACCCTATTTTTTTATTCATTCTATTTCTAAGTCTGGCTCGAAAGCCTGGCAAAAGATTGTTGTATGAAAATATAATCATAATTTTTTTCAAACCTGACCAAATTGCCCAAGCCTAACCTGATCCAACCCGAACCCAAACCCAAACCCATCTAAATTGTGTTAAAGTTCAAATTGGGCCTAAATTGGTAAGCTTGGCTTGACTGAGCCATTCCTAAGCCCAAATGTTACATCTTAGGATTGGGCTGGACTGGTTTGACACTCGACCCGACCCAATCCACCCAAGTTACACCCCTAGTTTTAATTGAAATGGCTAAAGAAATACTCAAATTGGGCATCAGAGTTATAAGAAAAAAGAAATACTCAAATTGGTCGCCCCCTTTAGTGAGTACAGAGTACACAGATGCTTCAATGTTTCCCACAACTCCTTACATGTCTTGCAACCCACAACATGGGCTAGGGGAGGACTTAGACTTAGAGAATGTTGCGATAAGATAATTGAAGAGTGACCGATCTTGTTTCACTCACTTACGATGATAAGAATGCCAATGATGTGGAGATTGATTCCGAAGTTGCAACTCATGGAGGACATGGGTAGGATCTATCAACATAGCCAATGAAGTTACGTGATGTACATGGGTTCTCCTAATAAAATGAGAAAATTAATTGCAAGGACTGCTGGGTCCATTTGGTTTGTAGTCATAATTGGAATGGAAATTTTTTGGAATCAGAATTGGAAGGGTCCAATTTCATAGTTTGTTTGGTTCGGACAGAAATGGGACTAAGAATTGAAATCAGCATAAATGAGATTTCATTCCCTCAAATGGGGAAATGCCATTCCATCCAATCAAACAGTTCAATTCCGATTCTAGACCCCTATTCCAACAAACCAAACAGAGCCAGTATGGGTTGAGGTGCTTAAAGCTTGAAAAGCTATTCTTGTAGAACAATAGAAATAAAGGCAACAAAGAAGATGACAAGGAACCGGAAGAAATAATTAGGGATGGTTGGGGATGGGGATTGAGGTCCTTGCGCCGCCCCATGATTATGTGTGTGTATTTTTAAAATATATATATATAAACATATTTAAAGCATTATTCATAATATCACATTTTTATTTATTTTAAGTAAATTTATTTTTTTATTAAATACTATTATTTAAAAAAATTTGGGGATTAAGGTCCCCACGGGAAACCCATCCCCGTCAAGGATCAGGGATGGATGACAAATTTTATCCTTGATGGAAATCAAGGACGAAAATAAGGGTTATTATAGAATCAAGGTCAGGAACGAAAAATATGATCCCCTCACCGAACCTGCCTCGTTGCCATTCCTAGAAATAACTAAGGGAGTATGAGAAAACTAGGACATGAAAGAAGAGATGAGTGTATCACATATTTCTAACAAACTTAGAGCTCCAATTGTTGACTTATGAGGACGAGGTCTCTACTCCAACCAATCACCTCTACTAAGGATGTCAACGTTCTTAGGAAGAAATTTGATCACGATGCAGACTCTAACATGGAACATTAGGGGCACAGGGCATCCCTCTCTCTGACATCAAGTTAAAACATTTTTATTATGTACCTAACAAAAGTTAAAACATTTTATTAGCAATTTAGCATACATGGGTTCGGACTTCAGACTACGGTGCTAGGAAGACGTGGTACCGGAAAAAAAAGTTACAACTTATAACCAATCAAAGGGGATCACAAAAGTGATAATCAATCATGAGATTTCATGAAAATAAAGGGTTGAATGTAGTATCACGTTTTTGTGGCATAATGATAATGTTTGTTTTTTATGTTAATCCAACCCTTAGTATGAAATTATTAGATGTTTTGGTTATGATTGATGTTGATCCCACTCAATTCTCCAGAAGCTTATGACTATGTGGAATGAAACTTGATGTAGTTTTCCATTATCATGACACTGAACTATTCCTATGAAAAAGACAAAATCTTGATCAACATGGGTCACATTGGAGGAAGCTGTCCCATCTTTATTGACAAATATCTAGTGGTTGACAAGTTACAAGTTGCATTGTCATATGTTAACTCAAAATGATCATATAATAAGTTTTTTTTTTTATATGTTTAACAAGTTATTTATTCAATCAGTTGTATGACCGAGCTCGAGCCCAAGCTCAGTTCTTGGGTCTAGATCTTAAGCTCAAGATTGACTTTGCATAAAATCCAATGCCTGAGCGCTTACACCAATTTAGACAAATGTTTTATATTATATATATTATAAATATGCTATATATATTATAATATATAATACTTTATTCACTATTAGTTTTATTATTATAATATATATATATATATATATATTATATATATTATTTTTTATTATATATAATATTACTGGGCTGGGCTTATTTAAGAAAGCCCAAATTTACCCAAAAAAATTGAGCCTGTTGTTTAAAGCTCAAACCCATGGGCTTAAAACTTTGTCTAATCTTGATTTAGAATGACCAGTAAACTGTCTGACTCATGAATATATTTAATGACACATGACATGAACAAACTTTCTTTCTTTTTTTTTTTTTTTAGATTTAGAGTCTACAATTAAGCATTAAAAATTATTAGATGTGAGTCCTCCATATGCCCTAACCTTTTTTTTTTCCTTTTTTAAGAAACCACAAATCAAACACAATTTTATCATCATCTAAGCGTTATTCCATGTATATGGGTCAGCTACATCAATCCTTTTTCATCCTTCAATCAAACATGTTTTCACAATTAGTTAGTATATATATTTTTATCATCTGGGTTGGCTTTAGCTTTAACGATGTCTCACTGTGACACATTTGTTAGATTAGATTCTTGATGGATTACTAAGGAACATGACAAATAAGATATTTCCTTCAAAAAATCTCATTTTATTATCTTCAAATTATTATGATTATTTTGAAATTATCACTCCCTTTTACTTATCATAATTAAAGTGTCTACATATTAATATTATTTATAGCACTCAATCATATTTGGCTTAACTTATTTCTAACTGTTTTTTTCATGGTTTTCGGATTGCTGTTGATTTGGACAGTTTGGACCGTTTGGCCTAGAGATCATCCATGCAATTGGTTTTATTTTATCTAAAATCCGGTCTCTAACAAAAAACCATTAAATCAATCAACGATTCATTGATAGGGTGGTTGAATTGCTAATTTGTAGATCCATTCAATAATTTTTGACCATTTTTTATTATAATGAGCCATTCATTCAAGCTGGACAGTTAAATCTTTAATCCAAAAATCGATGGCTAAAATTATTCCATTTTAAGATCGTATTTTAAAACCATGGTTTTCTTTAGCCTACCATACAAGGGATGAATTTGACCGTAGATTGATGCCAAATTCATGAACAGAATGCAGTTTATAGGGGCTACTAAAATACTAATACACTATGATAGGGCTGTAATTTAGTATTCTGCAGTGAGTACGTACTTTTCCCTTTTCTTTTATGCTTAATGTTTTTTTCTATTTATTGATTGAACGGTTCGGACCGAACAGTCAAACAAAAAATAATATGAATCGCCATTCTCAACCACCCTGATGCTATCATGCTAGTGCAACTGTGACAGCATCCTTAGTGTAGAAGAAATATCTCCCATTTTATCAGACGGTCACAAACTGCACGATCTACACCATCATATCAGTACGGTACATCAGATTAATCACTCCATTAATAGGTGGTGGGTCCCGCAGAATTATCCATTGCTCCTATTTCCACGTGGCGTTTGCCCATTGCAAAAACCAAACTATCAACAGTACCAGCTTCACTTGGAAATCCTCTAAGATTCCGGACGTTACTAGACAAATCATAATACGCCACGTCATCCTGACACAGATAGACCTATGCATAGATGACGTGGCGTGAGATGATTGGTCCAGTGCACCATCTAACCCACCTCATCACGGCTCGCTCGCACCTCTCTCGAGTCTCGTCAGCTGGTTTCTGAACGCATGATGATACCATGTATGTACGACATACATGATGCATGTAACGTGAAAACACCCGATCGGCCCCCAACACAGTAGAAGCCCAGTACTGCACGTGCATCCGTGCGCCCCGAATCCCTCCACCACCCTATCAATTCTTGTTCGCTATTCCCAATCTTGAGGCATCAAAATCAATGTCAGTCTAAAAATCAGACGGCACGCACCGACTTATAAAAATGGTTCTAAAATGTACCGAATTATCGTAATCTCAAAAACAACTAGGGAAAAATGGGTCGGGCCCTGACATGGGTCCGATTCGCCTAACCCGATCTGAATCATATATATAGATCACTTATACTCAATCAAACCTAATATTACATATGTTTCAATATTGCAAAAATATAGGGTGGGGTTTGGTGGTTCACCTGAACTGAAACCCGTGCCAAACCAGATCAAGAGTGACCCGGTCCAACCCAATAGGGGTTGGGTCAGTGCATGTTCATCACCTAACCCTACCCAATCTATTAACATCCCTAGACTAAATCATACTAATAGGATGTCAACAGGTCAGGTTTCGAACAAATTTACCTCGACCCTAGTAAGATCGGATTCAGTGCTCACAAGACAGTTTGTTCTCGTAGTCTTTTATTAACATGCATTGAGAATATTTTCATACTTATATGCTTTTTTTCATTATGAAATAATCCCAATGCAAGACTGAAAAGGATTATGTAAATGGTGTGAGCAGGGCCAAATCCAATTTCAACCCTAACTAATCTTCTAACATCTCACATGAATCGACCCACCCCAATTATGAAATATAAATTTTTACAAACCCGCCCCTAATTTTATAGGATTCAACTCGATACCAACCCACAACCTTTCAATTATATTTTTCTATAATACATTTTGAAAATCTATAAATCATTAATTTAAGTTAAAATTTTAATTTATAAATTCTATCATATCACTTCCTCTAAAAAAATGTAAATACGACTCGGGCCAAAGAATCATATCCCAACGCGGGTTTTTCGTTTAACCCGACCCATTCACACCCCTACTTTGATTAATAAGAAACAGAGTGCGCAGCTTAACTATGCTGCCCTATAAGCACACCACCATGCATCTCGTCTGATCGTCTCCTCTCTGTTTCGTTCTATTTAACACGACACACGATTCGAACAACACCAACACAAAGAGTCCTCTCTCTCTCTTCTTTCTCTCAAATAAACCGGGAAAAATATATAATCGGAACCAGAGATAGAGAAACAGAGAGAGGAGAAATCACAGAAAAACCAGAGCAGGAAAAGATACAAACTACAGAAACGGTGCCCCACCACCCCGACGCCCTTATTCTCTCTATCCAAGATGAAGGCGAGCCAACCAGAACCAGCTTCGTCATCGATGCAATCACCGTCCACCTCTGTTGTCTCCAACCCACCACAACACTCTGCTGCGGTTTCGTCGTCATCGGAGAAGACGACGGTGTCTGTATCGATAACAGCGGCGGAAGAGCCGGTAGGGTCCAGGGAAGGGGGCGGACAAGAATCGGTAACCGTCGAGCGCCGGGGAGATCACTCGGCCGTCTGCCGGTGGACGGTCGTCAATTTCTCCAAGGTGAAAGCTAGGGCACTATGGAGCCGATACTTCGAAGTGGGCGGCTACGACTGTCGGCTCCTCGTCTACCCCAAAGGTGACTCCCAAGCCCTTCCCGGTTACTTCTCTATCTATCTCCAAATCATGGATCCTCGCGGTTCGTCGTCGTCGAAATGGGACTGTTTCGCCAGCTACCGCCTCTCCATCGTTAATCATCTCGACGAATCCAAGTCCATTCAGAGAGACTCTTGGCATCGCTTCTCCAGCAAGAAGAAATCTCACGGCTGGTGCGACTTCACCCCTTCTTCCACAATTTTGGATCCCAAGGCCGGGTTCCTCTTCAATAACGATTCTGTTCTCATCACCGCAGATATTCTGGTCTTGAATGAATCAATCTCCTTCTCTCGCGATAACAATGAGTTACAGTCTTCATCCTCTTCGTTGTCCTCTGTCGTCATAACAAGTCCAATTTCGGATGTTTTGAGTGGGAAGTTCACTTGGAAGGTGCATAACTTCAGCTTGTTCAAGGAGATGATCAAGACCCAGAAGATAATGAGCCCTGTTTTTCCTGCCGGTGAATGTAACCTTCGGATTAGCGTTTATCAAAGCTCAGTCAATGGGGTAGAGTATCTATCGATGTGCTTGGAGAGTAAGGACACCGAGAAGTCAGTAATTCCCGACCGGAGTTGCTGGTGTTTGTTTCGAATGTCGGTACTGAATCAGAAGCCTGGGCTTAATCACATGCACAGGGATTCTTATGGCCGGTTTGCAGCTGACAACAAGAGTGGGGATAATACTAGTCTCGGGTGGAATGATTATATGAAGATGGCGGATTTTATTGGGTCGGAGACGGGGTTTCTTGTTGATGATACTGCTGTTTTCAGTGCCTCTTTCCATGTGATTAAGGAGCTCAGTAGCTTCTCCAAGAATGGGGGATTGCTTGGCGGGAGGAGTACCGGTGGGGCAAGGAAGTCTGATGGGCATTCGGGGAAGTTCACTTGGAGGATTGAAAACTTCACGAGGTTGAAAGATCTTCTGAAGAAGAGGAAGATTACAGGACTTTGTGTCAAGAGCAGAAGGTTTCAGATTGGTAATCGGGATTGTCGCCTCATTGTTTATCCCAGAGGTAAGACTAAATGGGCATTTCAGGGTTTCTACCTGTCTTTTCCACTCCATTTCATTTGATTTAGCTTTTGTTTAAGGAACTTCTGTTTTTTACCTCTCATTTTTTGGGTTTCCTATGGGCATTGGGTTGAATGTAAATTAGGTTGATGGGCTCACACCCACATACTGAAAACTATTTTGCAACACTTCATTATATATATGTATATATTATAGGCTGTGAAAGTGAAAGAGAACTGATGGAATTTCTACTTGATGGCATCAGGGCAGTCTCAGCCACCTTGCCACCTTTCTGTATTTCTTGAAGTTACAGATTCCCGAAACACTGCCAACGACTGGAGTTGTTTTGTGAGTCATAGGTTATCAGTTGTGAATCAAAGGATGGAGGAGAAGTCTGTTACAAAGGAGTCACAAAACCGGTACTCCAAAGCTGCAAAGGACTGGGGCTGGCGCGAGTTTATCACACTTACTAGTCTCTTTGATCAGGACTCTGGGTTTCTTGTTCAAGATACTGTCGTGTTCTCAGCAGAGGTTCTTATCTTGAAGGAAACATCAATAATGCAGGATTTCACTGATCAAGACATGGAGTCAAACAATGCAGGTTCTCAAATTGATGGAGTTGGGAAAAGAGGATCGTATACATGGAAGGTTGAGAATTTCTTATCCTTCAAGGAAATAATGGAAACCCGCAAAATATTTAGCAAATTCTTTCAAGCTGGTGGATGTGAACTTCGGATTGGTACATGGATATTATTTATTTATTGCTTAATATGCTGTTGTAGATTTCCTATATGATGACAGTTTTATCTCAAGTTGATGCCATGTTGGTTGATTATAATGCAGGTGTGTATGAGTCTTTTGACACTATATGTATATATCTGGAGAGTGATCAATCAGTTGGAAGTGATCCAGACAAGAATTTTTGGGTCAGATACAGGATGGCAGTGGTTAATCAAAAGAACCCTGCAAAAACTGTGTGGAAGGAGTCCTCTATCTGTACAAAGACATGGAATAATTCTGTTCTCCAATTCATGAAGGTTTCTGATATGCTGGAACCAGATGCGGGATTCCTTGTACGCGATACAGTTGTTTTTATCTGCGAGATCATTGATTGTTGTCCTTGGTTTGAGTTTTCAGATCTGGAGGTGAGTCTATATCTATATCAATTTTGTTTATGATAGAATCGTGTCATCCATGTAATTATTGTAGCTTATAAAGTTTCACTAAATAGAACTTTTTTTCTTGTGGTTGTTCAGAACTCAGAAGTTGTTTAATTGAGTGCTGACCAAAATTTAATCTCATAAAATGCTGTTCTGATTTGTATATTCTCTCCTATCCTTTTTTATGGTTTCAAAAGGAAAAGAAAAGATACACCTATCCTTTGAATAATTATCAGTATCAGTAACATTGATCATTTGTCATTGCCCTTTGTGTTGGACTTTCTTCGCCACTCTGATTACTATGTGTTTTGATTGTATAAAAGTTATTCAACTAACTGTTAATATGGAGTTGGAAGAATTCATGCTGGGAATTTCAATTAGTGGCCTGATGATATGCATTCTTAATTCCTGGGAAGGCTGGAGTGATGGAGTTTTTATTCCATTTTCATATATGCATTAAAGTCCTGCTTTCTCAATGGATGTTGCCAAGGTGAGGTGATTATCAGGCTTTATATACATTTAATTTATCTAAACGGACTCTTTATCATAGAAAGAATCTCTTGTACATTATTTTTTAAGCAATACCTGCCATACATTCCTTTCTGATTTATCCCCAATTTTGCCAAGTTGTCTGCAGTATCATTAAATTCCTTGGAGTTCATTTTAGCATAGATGAGTAAGAGTCAGAAAAGCTAATACAGTAAATCCTCATTTATCTTGTTTGATAGATCCATACAAGAACTGAAATTTTTTCTGAGGTTTCTGTGGAATTTTGAAGTCGGATTGAAATTTCAAGAAAAAAGAACCAATAGCATTTTGATCTATCCAATTTCCTTTCCATTTCTATTATTCTTCCTCTATGTTTTTTTTTTTTTATCAACAAAGGATTAATTATAGTAATAGTTGAAAAAAGTTACAGCAGTCTGGGTAACCGTTCACCCAAGAAGACAGGATACAATAATAGCTGAAAAACAACATTATAATAGAGCCCAAAAAAGCTGCTGCCTATATACTCCTTGTTTGGCTAAAGTGTTGGCCATCCCATTAGCTGTCCTGTGTGTCCAAGTAAAAGAAGCAATCAAGTCCCCTTGCAGGCTTTCTATCTCCCTGAAGGCATGTCTATATATCCAAGGTACATTTATGTCTAGAAGTGATCCAAGAAATAATCACATTTGAGTCTCCTTCAATTTCCAGGTTTCTAAAATTTGATTGCTTAACAAATCTTAAGCCTTGTAATAGTGCCATCAGTTCAGCCTTTAGTAAGTCTCCTTCTCCCATAGGTCCCGAGTACATGACCAAGACTTTACTTGAAGGCTCTGTTTGGTTTGTGGGATAGGGATGAGAAAAAGGGAATATTCCAAAAATATTCCCTTTTCTCTTATTTGGTTTGAGGGAAAAAGAGGGATGGGATGGGAAAGACATGGGATGGCAGATCCCAAAATCATGGAATCGGGGTCGCACCAAAACAGTGCGACCCCCGTGGAAAAACTGGGAAATCACCATTACCACTTACCATCGACGATGAATAGAGGAAAAACTAGGAAATCTCTGTCCCTGGGTTCGTTTTCCTCTTCTCTTTGTCCCTTGTCTCTCTCCCTTTCTCCCTTTCTCAATGCGACTCCATCGTTTCTTTTCTCTCTTCTCACTCGTCTTCTCTCCCTTTGTCTTCTCTCTTCTTCTTCTTCAGATTATGACGGGCTCAACGGTCCGTGCCTCTGTTCGTGAAGTTCTTGAAGTTGATTGTTTTGAGGAAGGACGAACGAAAGTTCCTAGAGGGGGTTCGTGCCTCTAGCGAGAGTGCGCATGTTTTGAAGAAGGACGAACTGGGGAATCGTCATCATCGTCGGCGAAGTTGAGTAGTTCTTGTTCGTGAAGTTCCTGAAACATGCACACTCTCACTGACCTTTTACACTTTCCGTGCCTAACGAGGCAGTGCCACCTTTTACACTGTTCACCTTCCTAAACAGTGGCACTGTTCACCTTCATCGTCTTTGTGAAGTTCCTATTCGTTCGGTCCGTGCCTCTGTTTGTGAAGTTCTTGAAGTTGATTGTTTTGAGGAAGGACGAACGGAAGTTCCTGAAGGGGGTCCGTGCCTCTGGCGAGAGTGCGCATGTTTTGAAGAAGGATGAACTGGGTAATCGTCATTACCGTCGGCGAAGCTGAGTTAGTTCTTGTTCATGAAGTTCCTAAAACATGCGCACTCTCGCCGACCTTTTACACTTTCCGTGCCTCTGTTCAGGAACAAGGCAGTGCCACCTTTTACATTGTTCACCTTCCCACTGTTCACCTTCATCGTCCTCGTGAAGTTCCTGTTTGTTCGGTACGTGCCTCTGTTCGTCTCGAACGAAGGAGGAAGGTGAACAGTGCCACCTTTTGCACTTTCCCATCCCATCCCATCCCAATAAAACCAAACAAGGAAAAGTTAAATTTTTATGCTTTCCCATTCCATCCCATCCCATCCCATCTTTTCCCGTCCCACTCAAATCTTCCCACAAATCAAATGGAGCCGAAGGGTCTCTAAACATGCCACCAATACTTGCCATTCTTGGGTTTCCCATAGAGCTCCCTATCCCTTGATGGGGGCTTCCATTCCACCAACCTTCTTTCCTTTTCTTTAGAGGAGTGTTCCATCTCATTCCAAGCCCTTATTATATTAGTCACTATAACCTTTGGAAGATGTCAAGGCTTTATCCAATGAGCCACTTTTATTTTTATTATTTCTACCAAATTCTCCTTTGACCTGTGCTGTTCATTAAATATTCTTGCATTCCTCTCCTCCCAAATAGTCCACACCACTACTGCTCTGATCGTCTTCCACATTGTTTTCCTTCTTTTTGTTGGCTACCTTAGGAAGTTTGGTTGAAGAGACTCACTATGTCCTAGGGAGTTATCCACCTGCAACCAAAAGGGTTAAGGATTCTCCATTTGCAAAGCAAAGGAAATACACATGTGGGGAAAGACATTTATTCGGCCTTATCTTTTGTAACATGTCACAGGTGTTCACCTTTCCAAGAAAAACCTCCCAGCATAGTGCTTGAAACTTTGGTAGTTTGGTGGTATCCAAATATCTTTCACTGGGAAATTCTTTCCAACCTCTAAAGGTTGCAAAAATGAATTGAAAAAAGGGTGCAACTAAAGATACCATCAGGGGAAGTAGACTAGACTCTAGTGTCCTCCACAACTCGAACCAAGAAAGCAGACTTGAGTTTATCCAACAACTGAATAAGGGGCTCACACTCAAAATCTCTCAGGCCCCTTCTAAAACCAAAATACCAACTCAAACCAAAGGAAGAGAAAGTGACAAATCTTGAGATTAGTTGACACTTGTTGTTAGGCACTGAATAAAGGCTTGGGAAAAGGGAACTAAGAGGAGTGTCAACTATCCAAAGATTTTCCTAGAAAAGAACTCTTGACCCACAACTAGACCTGTTCATGGGTTGGGTAGCTCGACGGCCCAGCCTGGCCCTCAGACGGGCTTGAACATGATTTTTAGCCATTGGGCTTGACCTCGGGCCTAAAAGCCTGGCTCTATTATTTTTTGGGCCGGGCTCGGGATTTGTCAAAAAAGCCCGACCCGACTTTTTCTAGTTTCTAAACCCTAAATCCCTAACTCGACTAACCTTTTCTCAATTTCCCTCTTTTCATCGTTTTATTTCTCATTCTCACTCTCAGTCTCAAGCACTAGTGAACTTAGGCATCGTTCTCACTCTTAGAGGCGAACTCAGGCATCGGTGCCTCACTCTCAATCTCAAGCACTAGCGAACTTAGGCATCGTTCTCACTCTTAGAGGCGAACTCAGGCATCGGTGCCACCAACGAACCAGGTCCTCTCTATCTCCGGCGATGACCATGGCCCCCCTCTCTCTCTCTCTCGTTATCTTACTCTCTCTATCTCTCTGTCTCCGGCGGTGACCACTTTTCTCTCCCATCTCATCCATGAAATGTTTAGAGCCTTTTGGAATCAGCATCTCTATTGGTTCACCATAGCATCTCTGTTGGTTCACCAGTATCAGAATCACACCCGAGCTCTATATTTTCTCCTCGAATAAGACCATGAAGGATGCACCGACGAACTCAGGCACCGGTGCCACCAAAAAATCAATCATTTTGTTAGGTCGGGCTTCGGGCTCGGGCCCGGGCTTCAGGCTTTTTATGAGGGTCGGGTTTGGGGCTGGACTTCGGGCTTTTTATGAGGGCTGGGCTTGGGCCCAAGTTGTAGGCCCGTTGGTTGGGGCCGGGCTCGGGCCTGCAAAAATTCTGTTAATGAAGAGTAAAAGCCCGGCCCGAGCCCAACCCATGAATAGGTCCACCCACAACCCACATCAAACCTAATAAAATGTGTATACCTTTTGAATTGTTTTCTTCTTCCTTTGTGTTGTTTTCATCTTTATCTCTTTTAGCCGTGTCTCATCTAATTAACTAAAATTTCTCCTATTTCTCTCCAATTATCTCAAGATTAGAGAATATGTTCTCCATATATTCTGTTTTGGTAACTTCCAAAATCAGAACAAAATCTCAAAATCTCGAGCTTTTTCATTAATGTTTTAATCCTTCGATCCAAACCAATTGAAACAACCTTGAAGATAAATATATTGAACTTGTATTCTAGCAAAAGAAATTAAGGGAGTTATGTTATTTTCATGATAAGAGAATGGAGAGCTTTGTTCAGGCGACAAAATGGAGAAGAGTACTTCAGTTGGAGAAGAAGAAGATCCTTATGGAGGAAATAACAAACTGAGGGAAGAAGCTTATGAAAATAAGGGAAGACCGACGAGCAACGATTATTATGGACTTAAAAGTGGTGGACTTGTTTAAAGGTTTTATAGATGGTCTACTATTTGTAGAAAGAATACAAGGATGGGGAAATGAAATGACAAACAATGGGAAGAGATTTACAGTAGAAAATAGAAGGAATAGAAATGGAGGGTTTCTTTTATTAACAGAGTTCTTTGGCAAAGGGAGAAAATAGTTAGTATGCCTATTGG